TTCGAATCCAATGCGGCCTTCAAAACAGGACCTGTCCTGATTAGTAACGGTCGTCAGCAACTTCCCAACTTCAATTCCTAGAAGCACCAGGTTCTGTTCGTTGGTGCTGTACACGTCTATACCAGCCCATTTCCCACCGACCAGTCCACGACGAATTCGCTATGCGACGCTCTGCTTCATCATTACTATTGCACTGGTACGAACACTGAGTAGGTTTCTGGTTGTGGACGATCGCCTCCCACATGGTATGCAAATCGAATTCAAATGGAACTCCAAAATAATATCCCTGTAAATTCTCACCGTCATCGTCCGTACAAAGTATCCTGCCACCGTTAGATGCACAACGGGACCAATTCAGCTCCTTCCAACCATCCATTGTTGCCTTCCTCATCGGTTCCGTCATCTTGTCAGCTTTGTACACCTTCTTGCAAAACTCAGACGGCAATCGCATCGTGGCCAAATCAAACGCAGAAATCAATCCGTGGGGTTTGCACCTCGTGAGATAGTCGGACGTGGATAGGACTTCACAATGGTAGTCTTCGGTCGTGATAAAGGGCGGGATACTTTGGTGGTCGTGGTCAACACCGGACGTCGTAGCGTCCATGATAAAGGTCTTACTACAGGTGAGGGATGCGTCTTCCGTGCCTGGACAGGCTTTGGGCAAGCAGATATGTAGCAACCCTGTCATAGTGACGCAGCCGACAACGCCTCCAGCAGTCACAAGAAACCACGGCCTTAGCCAAAATTTTGTGAGAGGCTTGGTTGGTGGTGTCTCTGTCTCGAGAGTAGCCCACTGTTCCCCCAGGATCTTCTCCTCTTCATCGAGGTCCGATTGTTCGGAGTGTGAAATTGGTGGCGCTTTTAGAGCTCGGACTTGGTCATCTACATCAGCCGTTTCTTCGAATCGTCGGACGACCGTGCAGCTAGGACCCAACATCACGGTCAGCACTACACCTCCACTCACTCCACCGAACCGTAAGCAAGGCACCCCCTTCATTTAACGCAACCAAGTTGGAAAATCACAAAAGGAAAATGGACAAAAGTGCGCAGGACAAAAGTGCGCACATACGGGTTGGCGGAGTGCAGGTTTGGTGGAGTGCAGGTTTGGTGTGTATGAAAACATGACTGTGGGAATGCAACCGCGTAACACCCTCCTGCCAATAAACCATTATATATCCCAATTCATACTCGCCAGGAACTTTGATATTGTGCCGCATTTCCTGATCGAATTTTTTCGACTGGAAATCTACTGGGCTTTGCCCGCACTGGTTCAAATCCAGTAGCTGTCGAATTCGAACGGAACGCCAAAATAATATCCCCGTAAGTTCTCACCGTCGGTAAGTTCTCACCGTCGGTGCAAACTCTCCAGCCACCATGAAATTCACAGTCCAGTGTCTTCTTCGTTGCATTCCAACAACGGTTCCGTCCATCTTTCCAGCAATCGATCTGCCGGTCGCTACATCCGAAAGCTAGCTAGCCCTTTCAGCCAGCAAAAGTTCAAGCCGGGACAAAACGGGCTATGACACCTACCACAGCATACCTCTTACGGTTTTAGCACGCTCCACTGGTCCAGACCGGTGGCTGAACTGTTACGGGACATGCACGACCGCCACTTGATTACTTCAATGGTATGCGAAGCTTTCAGAATCACGAATGTCAGACAGCCGAGGATTATAGACCCACCACCGACAGTCGCTTGCAATTGAATGGATTGGAAACGTCTAATGATAGCATAACCGAGGATTACCCGCAAGGTGCTGGATTGTCAAAGCCCTCTTCCGGGCAGGCAGTGCTACAAGAAACGTCAGCCATAGAGCGTCAGCCATAGAGCGTCAGCCATAGAGCGTCAGCTATAGAGCGTCAGCTATAGAGCGTCAGTCACAGGGACATTGTGGTTGACAATCCGACTGACGCTCTATGGCTGACGCTCTATGGCTGACGTTTCTTGTAGCACTGCCTGCCCGGAAGAGGGCTTTGACAGTATGGGTAAATTTTGAAGGGATAAAATTGAACCATTTGTAATTGCGCCATGGGGCTTACTCTTGGCATTCAGAGTTTCGAAGACGTTTTTCTTTGCCAGTACGTGGATAAGACTGAGCAGGTTTGGGAGATTGCCAACGCCGGTAGGCCGTGTGTGCTCAGTCGGCCTCGACGTTTCGGGAAGAGTCTTCTAATTTCCACGTTCAAAGCTTACTTCCAGGGTCGGAAAGATCTCTTTGCCGGACTGGCGATTGAGCCGTTGGAAAAGAAATGGGAGCAGTACTCCGTCCTACATCTCGACCTGAGCCCGTTTGAGTACTATCCACCTAGCAGTTCGGCCCCCAGTTGGGCCCGCAGTTCGGTAGACGAGCAACAGACTAAGCTAGAGAAGATCCTGAGTGACAAGCTACTTGAGTGGGAGACGGAATTTGGTGTAAATGAGAACGAAGGGACTCTCAGCGAACGCTTCGCTCGAATCATACAGCACACAGCCGAACAATCCGGCAAGGGTGTAGTTGTACTCATTGACGAATACGACAAACCTTTACTGGAGACCCTTTGTTCCCAAGACCTATTGAAATCCCATCTCTCTGTGCTGAATTCATTTTACAGTGTTCTGAAACGTGAGGAACGGCACCTATACTTTGTCTTTCTCACCGGCATTACGAAACTAGCGCAGGTCAGTGTCTTGAGCGAGATCAACCAACGGAACGGTAGTAGTCTTGACCGTGATTTCCCTACCCTTTGCGGCTTCACTCGAGAAGAACTGACTACGAAGTTCCGCCGTCAAATCGAGTCGTTAGGAGAGTCGCACGACATAAGTATGGAGGAAACACTTGCCGTTTTGACCCGTCGATACGGGGGTTACCGCTTCCATCACAGCGGTGAACAGTTGTTCCAACCGTGGAGTGTACTAATGGCCTTTCACGAGGGAAGATTCGGCGATTACTCAAACCATATTGGCATTCCCAAAATTTTGAAATGGGTAGTAGAAAATAGAAGCAGTGACCTGGTCCCTTTACTGACTGGCGTCTCTCTTGATGGCTCCGACATGGATCCGACGTCGGGTACGGTCTTGAAGCCAGCGGTTGAACCTGGGTCAGCGAAGTACCTCAAGTCCTTAGGCGAAGCGCTTCAAGATCCTTTTCTTCTGACTTACCTCTGCGGGTATATCACCGTAAAGGATTACGACAAGCGCTTCGACATCTACCAGTTAGCGTTCCCTAATGATGAAGTCCGATTGGGTCTTGCAAAATTCGCGCTTCTGATACGCACACCTGTGCCCGACAAGCAGCGCAGATCTTTCATTCGGAAGCTGGTAAAGAGCCTGGAGGCCGACAGGCTTAAGAGTTTCTTCGCTACGTTCGATTGCTTCTTGCCCGTCAATAGCCGGCTTGAACCCTTTCCGGCTCATAATTGGCCATTAATCGTGCACCTGGTGTTCTGCCTCATGTCAGAATTCATTAAAACGCGAACTCAGTTCTTCTCAGATGGTGCCGGTGCTGTCGTGGACACAACTGAGCGCGTCTACAAGTTCCTTTTCAAGCTGGACGGCACCGCTAGGGAGGCTCTCGACCAAGTGAAGACCTCTCTCACAGAAAAAGAGAAGAATGAAGAAGCCCGCACGACTGTGGAAATTGGAGCAAGGATTAATTGCGATGGAAGGTCTGTGGTATGGGAGATTCAGCGTCAGGAAAATTTCCAATAGTAACCTGCCGGCTTAACGGCGCACGCAGGGGGGAAAAATATGAAATTTTTTTCTGTGTGGTCTAATATAAAGGAAGGTCAATGGACACACCACGGATCGGTGGTGTGTCGTCATCTCGAACTCATCATAACCTTGGGTCAATTCCCCCTGCTAGTGCGGTTGCCGCTGTGGGTATCTTACCATCATGGTAAGACACGCGTGTGGCACACCCCGCTCTTTCATGGGGATGAAGTCCGATTCACTGTCCCAATCCGTACAGATGTGCCGGGAAAGGCTTCTTATTAGGTACTGTTTACGGAGTTGGCGAGCTCGACTCTTTCATCCGTCGGTGCAATTGGCGACCGCCGACTTCTACAAGTTTAGTGCCACTGGAGTTAGGGCTACTGGGGTCAGGGGATCAGTAATGGCAGGGGAAAGCTTGGCGGGCACGGCCGTTAGGACCGCCAACTGCAACTGAACGGAGCGCAGGACCTCCGAACAACCCCGAAGAGCAAGCTGAACGATAGTACTGTGCCTCACTCCCCCCCC